GGAGGGGGGAGAATAGGGGAACCCATGGCCGATATGTAGAACTGAATGGTATTATAAAATAAAAAAAAAAAAAAAATGAACAGTCACGTGGGATTCACACAAAGAAACACTGAGAAAAGCATTCCTGAATACTGGTTTACAGAAACATACTTTAAAACAATTATTAAATACTGCCTCACATCTATTAAGTGGGAAAACCTGACAAGCCTTTGACTTTATAAGCACTTAGGTTTGGTTACACATTGCTGGTACTGTGTTCTGATCTTGAATTTCCACTATGAGCACTGTATTACAAACAAATAACTCAAATGAAAAATACATTTTACAATGTCTGAGCTGGAAACCGCCCCGATGTTTGCCTGTGGGAGGGAAGAGCACACTAGCACCACGGACAGACCATGTACAACCACTAGAGACAACAAGTGTGAAGACTCCAAAGATGGAAACGGCTGTTGTACAACACTCAATGACAACTGCAAGACTAAGGAAAAATTACCATATAAAATTAAGTTTCCATAGATAACAGATCAGAAGATGTATATTAATGGTGCTTTAGGATGTGAACAAGTTTATTTTGGTTTGGTTTTTTGAGACAGGGTTTCTCTGTGTAGCTTTGGAGACTGTCCTGGAACTCACTCTGTAGACCAGGCTGGCCTCGAACTCACAGAGATTTGCCTGGCTCTGCCTCCCGAGTGCTGGGATTAAAGACGTGCACCACCATCCACTCAAAGGGGGAGAGTAGAAGCAGGCAGAAGAAAAGTGCCTGAGAAGACAGAGGCTGGTGGTGTGCCATGGAAAACTATAGCCACTGGCTAACCATTTCTCCAGTCACTGATATAAAGTGAAGGTGCTCCTCTCAAAGAACACTATCAGTGCCCTATAAGTAAATCTCCCCATGGCTGTTAAAGCAAGGAAACGTCTCTAACATGGCCCACAGGCATGGCTGAATGGCCATTTTCCCAGCCCTCCTCCTCTTGCCTCAGGCTCCTTTTTCCACTTGCTCCCCTCCACCTCAGCTTTCAGGCACTTAGTCATCTTTAGAGTTTCACTGAATTCCTGGGTGCATGAACTATTTTAAACAAAAACAATACAACAGCCAGGCAGTGGTGGCGCACGCCTTTGATTCCAGCACTCAGGAGGCAGAGCCAGGGGGATCTCTGAGTTCGAGGGCAGCCTGGTCTACAGAGAGAGACCCAGGACAGGCACCAAAGCTACACAGAGAAACCTTGTCTCAAAAAAACCAAAACAAAAAACAAAAAAACAAACAAAC